TCAGGCAATCCACTCACCTCAGCCTCCCAAAGGCGCGGGATAACAGGCTGAGCCACCGAGCCCAGCTCCCCCTAGATCTTATTGAACTTTATATCCCCAGGATCTAGCATAAATCCTGGCCTATAGCAGGCTGGCTATCATTTTTACTAAAATAATTAATTAATTCAGAAAATCCCCCTAACGAATTTGCCATCACCCCACCCAACTTTCAACCTTTCAAAAGCACCCCCACGGACAGGACAAGCAGCTCTGAGCCCATATCTCTTACCTGAACCACCCGTCCATCAAAGTCCTGCATCCTATGGACTTTGTGGCTTTCGCTACAGCCGGGAGCAGATGGGGGAGAAGCATGAGACATGGTCACGACAAGCACTGTGCAGTCCTGGGCCCGCCTGCCACCCCTAACCAGCAATCTGTCCCCACATGCACACAGTGAGTGTGAGGGCAGCTCTCAAGGTCAAAACAAAGCCAAGTTAGGCCTGGGCATGAATGTAAAACAAAACTAAACCCTAGATGATTTTAATATGCAGCCAGAGTTGAGTGGTATTCAGACCCACCAACACAAAATATAAAACTGGAAGGAAATATTTTTAAACATTACAATGGAAAAAAAACTGAAATGGAAGGGAACTTTTAAAACCAATTTGGGAAAACAAAAAACTTACAAAAATTCATTCAAAGAAGTTCTTCACATCGAAACCAGTGCTCATCCATCCTCCCCTCCCACCAAGCTGAGTTCTTACTGCTCCCTTTCAGGTATGCCCTTGACTGCTCTGTGGGCTCACCACGTGGGAATCACGAGACAAACATTTAAAGCTTAACTCAGTATGGGGAAGGGGAAGGGGAAGTCCTTTGGGGAACTCACCTGTAAACTTCATCTTCGACCACCTTTCTTCCACACTGCCCATAAGAATTGTTTCCCATGCTGAAGACTAAAAATAACACCACCAATGAAATCAGTTCTGCAGGGTCGTGGGATCCTGAATATCAGGACTAGAAGGGGATCGCAACAGAGGTCCGAGTCCTGGTTAGCTCACCCTAACTGCCACTCGGTTTCCTTCTCCAATACTCCAGCCTCTGCTGGAACAACCAGGATCTAGATCTGTGTGCCAGGATCTAGATCCGTCATCTGCTCCCAGCCCTACCTCTGCCTCTTGGGATTCCACACGACAAGGCTGGCACCCTCCTCCTGCGCCCGTCACTAGGATGCCCTCATACCAAACCCCTCTTGAAAGGGCCCCTAAACACCATCTTCACCTTTTCCTACAAAGTACGTGGAAACAGAAAACGAAATTTGAAAAATGTTGTCACACTGGCCTTTCCTAGAAACAACCCCGCCCACCCGGAAGAAGTGTTAGCAAACAGGCTTCTTTGAGTGCCACCTACACACACGGCCCAGCTCGGTGACTTCACCACAGAGGAAGCAGGCCTTGGGAATGTGCCTCGTGTGCGTGGTCACATTCACAAACACCTCTGATCCTCAAAGCACTGCAGAGACCAGAGCACCTAAGAGTCAGCAAGCTCTGCCCAACACAGCTCTCCTGATCAATCCTACCACTCTGCTTGGGAAAGGCCAAGTTCCGCTAATCACGTGTGGCTCAATCACACAAGCCACTTGGGCCCAGCTGCGAGGCTCCGTTTCACAACAAAACAGGCACCCGACTCCTCCAGCACTTCCAGCAGGGGAACTCACCTCCTTCGCTGTCTGTCAGGACAAGAGAGTGAGCTCTGCCGCAGGAGACCTGCAGCACCCGTGTCTCCTGAGGTCTGTCCAGAGGCAGGGGGACCGGCGAGGGCTCCAAAACATACTCATAGCCTCGGGCTGAATGAAACACATGGCACTGATTGGGAGTCACAGCACTTCTGACATTAGAGATCACACTGTCCACCCCCCACATTGTTACGCAGGAAGAAAGAGAATCAGAGGTAGGAAAGACTTAAGGTGCATGAAGTTAATGGCAAAGCTAGGACTAGAAGCCCAACTCCCAGCCCACTGCACCATACTGCCTCGATCACACAAAGTGGGTTACTACAAAGCATGCTTAGTCTTATTAAAGAAATCTCTTTATGTATCATGTACTATCATTTGAATTTTTAAAGAAAGTAAAAGCATTTTCCTCCCACAATATTCAAAAGTTCTTAGTAAGGCAATGAATAGCATATACTATATGATACCACTTATATAAAAAGGAGGCAAAATGAATATGCATTTGCTCGCATAGCTGTTAAATCTCTCTAGGATTAGGTCAGGCACGGTGGCTCATGCCTGTAATCGCAGCACTTTGGGAGGTCAAGGCAAGAGGATTGCCTGAGTCTGGGGATTCAAGACCAGCCTGGGCAACTTGGCAAGAGCTCGTCTCTACAATAAATCAAAAAATTAGCTGGGCATGGTGGTGCACACCTATAGTTCCAGTTACTTGGAAGGCTGAGGTGGAAGGATCACCTGAGTCCAGCAGGCAGAGGCTGCGGTGGCCGTGAGTGTGCCACTGTACACCAGCCTGGGCGACAGAGTGAGACTCCAGCTCAAAAAATAAAAATAAAAATCTCTCTAGAATAAATTAAAAACTGTTAGCACAGGTTGTCTCCAGACTTCGGGAAAAGCAGGCTTTTCACCGTATAGCCTATGGTGCCTTTAATATTCTGAACTATGCAAATATATTCTTTTTTTTCCCAAGCAAGTCAAAGTTTATTCAGGAACAGGAAGCAAGTGTGGCAGCTCTCATAGTGAGAGGGGACCTGAGCAGGTTTTCCCACAAATACGTTCTTTACTCAAAAAATAATGAGACGATCTGCAGCTACATTGGGCCCCAACCCCGTCCACATCAGTAAGCCTCCAGTTTCTCTTATGAACCCACATTTAACAAGACTGTCTACCCAACTAATACCATTATTTAATAATGCATTTGCCTATTTATACTCACCAGTGACTGATAGGATTTTCAGACAACACTTTTAATCAGCATAGAACAACTGGTTTATCACAATGAGATGGTGTGACTGCCAGCAAAAATCAAGGAAACTGGACAGTGTTGTTAGCTCATAGAGCCTTATTAGCAGCAGATATACAATGTCCTAAACTACCGAAAGGCAACTCACAACCCCCATTACTGTCTTCTTAAACCCCCGAGGGCCTGGGAGCAGTAAGTACGCAACATTTTAAGGGAGTAGTATGGCTCCAGCTCCAACCACCAATTGACAAAAAAAACAGAGAACAGAGGTGTATATTAAACAGCACCACAGGAATACATTCAGCAAACTACAGACCGGGAAATTCTGTAAGATGAGATGAGCAAAGTGTTTTATTCCACAAATAAATTTCAAGAAAAAAAGGACTTAAAAGACTTTATGAGTCTTAGCGATCAATTGTAATGTTTGCATCTTATCAGATCTTGATTTAAATAACTGTTTAAAAATAAATAAAATCCGCAGGGCTCGGTGGCTCAGCCTGTAATCCCACACTTTGGGAGGCCGAGGTGAGTGGATTGCCTGAGCCCGCGGGTTCGAGACCCATCTGGGCAACTTGGCAAGACCTCACCTCTACAATAAATCAAAAAAAATTAGCCGGGTGCAGTAGCGCACGCCTGTAGTTCCAGCTACTTGGAAGGCTGACGCGGAAGGATCGCCGGAGCCCAGCAGATTGAGGCTGCGGTGGCCAGCCACTGCACTCCAGTCTGGGTGACAGTGAGACTCCAACTCAAGATAAAATAAAATAATAAATAAATAAATAAATAAATAAAATCCAATGACATTTTGAGACAACTGACAATTGCAACACTGGATATTTGATGATATAAAAGGATAAATTTTTTGGTTTGGTTTTGTTTTTGTTTTTTTTTTGAGTTGGAAACCCACTCTGTCACCCAGACTGGAGTGCAGTGGCCGCTTCCGGCCACCGCAGCCTCGACCTGCTGGGCTCTGGCAATCCTTCCACCTCAGTCTTCCAAGTAGCTGGAACTACAGGCGCGTGCTACCACAACTGGCTAATTTTTTTTGATTTATTGTAGAGATGAGGTCTCGCCAAGTTGCCCAGGCGGCTCTCAAACACTCGGGCTCAGGCAATTTATTCATCTCAGCCTCCCAAAGCGCAGGATTACAGGCTGAGCCACCAAGCCCGGCCAGGATTAATTATTTTTAAGTGTGATAATATTGTGCTTCCTTTTTTTAAGAGCTCTTATTTAGATATGTACTGAAATATTTACAAATTAGGACTTGCTTCAAATTTATTTAGGGTGAAGGTGAGGAAAAAGAATAAAACAAGCCAGCCCGGCATGAGCTGTTGACTGTTGATGCTGGTGATGATACATTCTACAATTCTATCTACTTCTGTATATGTCTAAAATCATTCCTAATAAAAGGTATTTTAAAATTTAATGTGGCTTCTTACAGCTAGCAAAGACTTCAAGACTGGCTTATAAGACATTTCTGATATAAAATAAGAGGAAAAAAAGGCAGAAAGCAAAATAATGCTGTGATCAAAATTATGTAAAAATGTATTTGCATATAAGCAAGAGAATAGGAAAAAAAATTAGAAGGTTTGTCTAGTATGTATTTCTGGGTAATTTTCCCCTTGTTTTAGAAATATTTCTTACTGTTCTTTTTTTTTTTTTAGTTGGAGTCTCACTCTGTCACCCAGACTGGAGTGCA